ATATGTGTGTGTGTGTGCGTGTGAATGTGTGTGTGTGTGTGTGTGTATCCAGGGCTGGCAAGTTTGAGGTCAGCTGACTCTGATTGAGGACTAAATTAAGACAATAATTTGGCAACTGTTATTAAAAGCCTTGACAGCTTAGCTGTTCTGTGCAGGCATTTATATTAGTTTATTCAGCAGATATTTATGAGGCTCCTGCTACCTGCCTGCCGGCCACGGAAAGCTGCCAGGTATCCAGTTTTATCAAAACAGATATGCTGTTTGCCCTTAGGGAGCTTACTCTGCAGAGGAGAGATAGAAATCCCTCAAGTGATCACTTGAACATGTAATTACAAGTTGCACAAGCAGTCTGAAGGCAGGTTTAGGGAGCCACAAGATGGGGTAGCAGCAGGGCTGGCTTTCTTCGGATGGGCGTGGTCAGAACTGGCTTGTGTGGGCTGGGACATTTAATAGAGATACAGAGGAGACCTGAAGAATGAACAGACGTTGCCAGATACTGAAGAGAGAGCGTAAGGGCTCAAGATGGAGAGACCAGAGCTGTGCATGACAGTGCGAGTCGGTAACCTCAGCTGCTCAGGAGCCTGAACCCTGAGCTAGGGCTGTAGCTCAGCGGTGGAGCACGTGCTTAGCATGCACAAGGACCTGGGTTGGATCCAGAGGACAGTGCAGGCCAGGGCCCCAGTCGGGAGCTCACTGCTCCGAGGGCCAGTAGCTGCGAGGCAGTGAGGGGGGAGAGTGGAAAAGATGGGGCCGAACAGGGACAGCACATGGGACCCTGCAGGCTCTAATGGGGTGCATTTTGTCCTGAGTGACAGGAAGTTGCTTGAAGATTTTAAGCAAAGGAGCCAGTGACATGATTCATTTAGAGTATAAGGGGAATTGGAGGGGTGGAAATCAAGGAGGCTAGCTGCACTGGGAGAGTTGCTGGGTCGAGGAGGGAGACGACAGTGGCCGTCGTGGTCAGGGCGTCCAAGGGGTGATGTGGGAAGCAAGCCACCTGGGATAGGGTGGGGTGTGCCTTGGGTGTGGGGGAGAGGGAGCAGCCCTGGTGATGCCAGGGAGCCAGGACCGTGAGGTGAGAGGGAGGGAAGGCTGGGGTCAGCAGAGTGATGCCGAGTGAGCTGTGGGAAGAGGCAATGGCCAGGTGGTCCCAGGAACTTGGCGGCTGAGGCAGGATGTGGACAAAAGTGACCAGCAGTGGGGAAGACAAATGCCCGAGAGGTTAGAGTGCAATGGGCCGTCACAGCCATAGAAACCCCCAGGGATGAGCTGCAATGGCAAAATGCTGGAAATAACGGAAGCACCAACTGGGCAGGTGACTGGTGGTGTGGGCCCCAGTGGGGCATCTGACAGCCACTCACGCAACGTGGCCTGCACATGCCCAGCCACACGTATGAGGGCTTCTCATCACCGACTGCTCCGTGGGAAAGAAACTCTGACTCTGATGAGGGAGCCTGCAACTCCTTTGGGCTAAATCTTGCTTTCTTACGTACTTTTTAATACTCTTTATTGACGTTTAATGTAAAATGGGAACCGAAAAGTACATTGGTCAGAAGTGTCTGGATCAGTGAGTTTGTACTGTGTCACCAGCACACATTTCAAGAAAGAGATGCACCTGTAGCCTCAGTTACTCAGGAGGCTGAGCCAGGAGTTCAGGGGTCGCCTGGCCAACATAACGAGACCACAAAATAAAACAAAAATAGACCCAGCCACAGCCCAAATATCCCTAATGTGCTTTCTATCCTACAGTGCTCGCAGAGCTACTATCTAGACCGACCTCGGTTTTGCTTTAAACTTCATTTAATTTGCAATTTTAAATAATTTAACAGGTGTTCCAACATAGCTCTTCCTTGTTGCCAAAAGAGAGTTTGACCAAGGATTTCAGAACCACAAAATACAGATTTTTTTTGCTTTGTTTTGTAAATGTGGCTAAAACTATGCACCTTGAGATCATAATGTTAAGTGGAATAAGACAGACACACACACTTAACTGTTGCATGGTTTTCCTTATTTGAGAAACCTAAAGTATAAATAAAGAGCAAAAACCTATGTCTTTCGAGAAAAGTGGGTTTCTAGGGTTTTTATAATGAGTTTGTGTTTGTTTTATGTGAAAGAAATCATGCACAATTATTAATAACTAAATCTTGGAAACAGCCCATATGCCCATGAACAGATGAATGAAGGAAGAAAATGTATTTATATAAAGTGGAGTACTGCTCTGCCATAAAGAAGGATAAACTTGTAGAGTGTGGAGGAACACACCTGTGATCCCAGCACTTGGGAGGCTGAGGCAGGAGGATCAATGCAAGTTTGAGGCCAGCCTGGGCTACATAGTGAGTTCAGGGCCAGCCTGGATTACAAAGCAAGACCCTGTCTCAAAAGTAAAAAAATAAATAAAATCGTAGTTTAAAAAAAAGAGGTAGGGCTGAGGATTTAGCTCAGTGGTTCGGTGGCCTGCCTCGCAAGCACAAGGACCTGAGTTCACTCCCCGGTACCAAAAAAAAAAAAAAAAATTAAAAAAGAGGGAAAATGTTTTTTAAAAGTATAAACTTATCATTTGTAGATAAACGAATGCAACTGGAGACCATAATTTTAAGTGAAATGAATAAGACACACAAGTTTAAATATCACATTTCTCTTGTGTGGAAACCCCTAAGGGTAAACAAGGAGCAAAATAGAGGATATTTTTTTATATATACTGGGGATCGAATGCGGGACCTTGAACTTGCAAGGCAGGCAGTGGAACCACTGAGCTAAATCCTCAACCCTTAGCGAATAATTATTGGGAAGTAGAGGGAACATGTTCAAGTGGGAAAGGGAACAAAGGAAGGGAAGGGCGATTAAAAACAAGGGAAGCAAAAATGGAAACAAAGCTTCTGTAAGTGGAGAGGAGGAGAAGAGCTAAAGGGAGAAGAGGGGAATGAGGGAAAAAGAATGATGTGTGTGTTTTGCTTTGTTTTGCTCTTCTGTACTGGGGATCAAACTCGGGTCCTTGTACTTGCAAGGCAGGCGATGGAACCGCTGAGCTAAGTCCCCGGCCCTTAAGATGTATTATGTACAGGTACAAATTCCCAATGACGAATGTGAGCACTGTGTGTAATATATGTATAATGTATATATATAAATATGGCGGGGCAGAGCCGGGCCTGGAGCAGGGAGCTCGGTGGAAAGGAGCCCAGCCTCTGAGAGGCCAGTGGTGTTTGCTTGTCTTCATCCGCATCTCCCAGTCCTGAGGAGGATAAAATAGCCCCACAGCTGCCTGGGCTTGATGTGGACCCCAGGGGGATGCTGGTGTCCTCTTGGCTCAATTGCTAGGACCTTGCCATCCCAGCTTCCCCACCCCTGCCTGTGTCCTGGCCTGCAGCGACCCTTAAGTGTCTCCCTTTTCTTCCCACAGGTGGAAAAACTTGTGAAATATTTGGATCCCAACGACCTGGGGAGAATCAATTTCAAGGACTTCTGCCGTGGGGTGTTCGCCATGAAAGGTGAGACTGTGGGGAGTCTTCCGTCTGGTCCTGTCCCCCTGGAGGTCAGTGTAAACTGAGTCCCAGAAGTGGGCCCTGTCCTTGGCTACCCACGGTGGCTGGGGGAAGAGCCGCACGGGACGTGGGCCTCTCTGAACTCTGCACAGAGCCCCACACAGGGTCAGAGAAACCTGAACCAGAGGGATGGTCCTCTGTGCCTTCCTGTTGTCTGACCCCCCTGAAAAGGGCTCCCCTTCTCTGTCCTTCTTTCCCCTGCCTCTTCCTTGCCCTCACCCCTGAGATGGCCACCGGAGGAGCCAGCCAGGACCCGGGGGGCTTCCCGCTGCTGGCCCAGGTCCAAGCACACCTGGACGGGGCTGGCACGCCCTCTCCCTCCCTCCTCCAGCCCTCCCTGATCTGTCTCCTCCTCTGGCCCCTCACTGTCGCGCATCTCTCTGTCCGCTGCAGGGTGTGAGGAGCTGCTGAAGGATGTGCTGTCCATGGAGAGTGCAGGGACCCTGCCGTGCGCGCCCGAGATCCCCGACTGCCTGGGGCAGGTAGGAGGCGGCGGGCGTTGTCCTGCCCTCTGTTCACCTCGTGCCATTCTTTTGGTGTCTAGGAGAACAGCCAGATAGCCCTGTGGCGTCAGAGTCAAGAGATAGCTTGGGGGCAGGTGCAGTGAAGTCGCTCAGGAAACCACAGCCCATGTGTCTGAGCTAGGAGTCCTCACAGAGCATCCTGCTCCATCCCACTGCTGCGGAGGGGAAACTGAGTCACAGGAGGGAGCGATGGGCTTGAGCTCATGGGGGCAGGGCTGCAGTTTCTTTCCTTTCCTCCTGTTCCGTCACTGTGAGCTGATAGGTCCCTGTGTGGTGTTTTCCCCAATTTCTCCAGTTCTCTGGCACTAACCGGATGTCTAGCAGTTCAGTTCTCTGATGAGTCCCAGGGGCAGTGCAAGATTTCTGAGAAGGTCAGAGAAATAACTTAGTTCTGGCCTAGTGGCATGAAACTGCAGCATGAGCAGCTCCATTTTGGTTTGGTCTGCTGGGCCTAGTGCTGAGCTCAGTCCAAACCAATGGTCGCCTGTAAATTTTATTTTGTAGCAGAGACCAAAGCCAGGTAGTAGGTATGGACCAGGGTGACTGGACCTCAGGGTGCAGTGATCACAATGAGAGCCCCTGGGATGGGTCAAGGAGACATGCAAGGCCAGCAACCTATGTGCCACCAACTAACACAACCAAGGCCGGGACAGGGGGTCCCCAGCATGGGGCAAACACTGAGTGCTCCCAGGGTGAGCCCTCCATAGATTGCTGGACATGCTGCAGAGGTCAGGTAGGCTGTGGGGGCAGCCAGAGCTGGGTCCCTACCCCAGTTAGGGCACTGATGAGCCATGCAACCCCGGGAAAGTTCCTCTCAACCCCTCAGAGCCTCAGTTTCCTCTGCTGCAAGACAGGGCTTGCCATATCGTTCTAGGATCCGCTGTGAAGATTCAGTGAGTAGACAAACTAGTGCCTGCTGGTGCTGCTCCCAGGGCTAAGGTGACACTTGCATCTTCCCCTGTACCCCTGGAGCTGGGGCTTCAGGAAAAAAAAAAAAAGCACTGCAGCTGAGGAGCTGGAGGGCAGGGTAGGGCTGAGGCCCAGGTCCCCTGTGGTGCACTGGACAGGGCTGTGCCCTGCGTGTCCTGGCCCCACCCCATGCCATCCACACTTCTGGAAGAGGTAATGCACGGAGAAAAATGACAGGTGGGTGTGGAGGAGTTGGCCTCTGAGAGGGTGCACAGCTCTGGAGCACACTATGGTTTTCCCTCCCAAGGCCAACAGTTCTGGGAAGAGAGAAAGTCCATCTCAGCGGCCCCAGCACGTCCCTGCATTTTCCCATGGGACTTTGCAATTGGAAGGGTGTTTGTGGCTTTTGGTTTTAAACATTCCCCCAGGCAAACTCCATTCTGTCCTCCATGAAGGTCTGGCCCTGACAGGTGGCTGTACTGTCCAGAGTCCAGCACAGTGGCGATGGCTGGGGGAACGCGGTAGATACTCTTACTGGTCCCGCTGAATGGGGCAGCTTGGTTACCTGGGCTCTGTTTCTTCCCATGGGTACCTGAGTGCCGGGAGTTGGTGAAGGGGACAGTTCAAAGGCCAGCCTTCCAGGCAGAATGGCTCTTCAGAAGAGGGATCAGCAGGACATGTAGCACACGCCTGTAATCCCAGCACTTGGGAGGCTGAGGCAGGAGGATCGCCATGAGTTCAAGCCCTGTCTTGGCTCCATAATGAGTTCAAGGCCAGCCTGAACTACATAGTGAGACTCTGTCTCAAAAAAGGAGGTGAGGGGGAGTCAGAGGGGGGCAGCCTGAGGCCCACTGTAATCCTGTTGGTTGGCCCTCTGTGCCCTGCTGTGTCCCTGCCATCCCCTAGAGGTCAGTCTGAGACCTAGAAGCCAGTGAGATCCTGGTTCACTCTGCATTTCCCAGGCGCCCAGGGAATGCGTATCTGAGGAGAGGTCGGTGAGCTGCCTGGATGGTAGGGGGACCACAGAGCACAGCCCCCTGGTGTATGAGTGAGCCCTTTAAGGAGGGAGATGATGCCATCCTTCCACTCTTCCTCCCAAGCTGTTGAGGCATCACCACCACTGGATTCTGGTCTCCTTAAAGCAGTGAAAAGCTGGGCCAGGGATTTAGCTCAGTGGTTCCACTGTCTCCCTCGCAAGTACAAGGTCCAGCGTTCAGTCCTCGGTACCAAAAACCCCAGAAAACAACGACAACAACAAAGAGTGAAATGCTTTAGGGTAGGCTGGCAGGTAAGCAGCTGCTCTCCCACACCTGAGAGCACCCTGCTCGTCTGACCACCGTGCCTGCCCTGTGTGCAGGTCCATCCCCGGTGGTTGGCGCTTGTGCTGCCCCAGCTCCTGGCCTAGCAGGATGTTGGTTGCCCTTCCCCGGTCCTCAGAGACTGAGGAGCCCTGCAGGGAACATTTCACTGAGGGTTTGGTAACCCCAACAGGAGCGCTGGGAAGGACTCATGTCCAGGGATGGCGCCTCCAGGCTGCAGGCTCAGGAAATGCCCCGCGAGTCTCTCCTGAGGCAGACCTCTTCCAAGGCTGCCCAGTGGCCCCCTTTTATTTCGCAGCCCCCAGATTATATGGGGTAGGGCCCCCCGTGGGGAGGGTAACATTGAAGTGGGGAGCCACCCCAGAAGGTGTTGGAGCAAGAGGAAATTGCTGGGGGCCGTGGTTGCCCCTTTGCAGGGGATGAGTGAAAGCCTCACATCTCTGTGAGACCCAGGCCCTTGCTCATACGCCCACAAGAGCTGGTTAACAAGGAATCTGAGGAAGCAGAAAGGGCATCAGGCCACCCACTCCATCACCCCTGTCCAGTTCGCAGACCAGAAGGTCATCTCAGACCCTCCCAGAGCCGCCTCTAGTCCTCTGCTCCCTGTGCACGCATCACAGTCAGTGCCACCCACCGGGCATCCTCCTCACCCCCGGCACCTCTCCCTGCAGACCCCCAGGAACTGCTCCTCAGTGAGCCCTCCTCACCAGGGATAAAACCTGCTACCACCAGCTCCTTCCCACTTCCATCGTCACATCTCCGCGTGGCACGGTTCATACCCCAAGACTGGCAACAGCCCCCTCTCCTGTCCTTCAGAAAGGGCCTGGCTTTGTCTTGCCGCTGACCTTGGCATTTTGTCTCTCACCTGGGCTGTCCCTGACACGGGCTCAGGCTCCCTCTGCCCAGCCTGAAGGGGGACCTGGGTCCTCCAGCACTGCCTCGCCCTCACCCTCACCCTCACCCTCCAGAACTGTTCCCGGTGTGCTGCACAGTGACGTGAGGTGCCCCCTTGGCAGCAGGCCCTACCCAGCTCCTCTCCTTAACACCCAGGGCAGCGCTATGGCAAGCACCCTTAAGCACCTCTCTAAGCACTTCTAGGATCAGAGATGTGGAATGGAATTGCTGTATCAAAGGCCGTGCGGGTTTTATTTTTTAATAAATTTTAAGTTGATGATTCTGTTTTTCACTTTTGAATAGATGCAACCAAAT